CTGAACCGCAGCAGAACAGACTGTTTGAAACAAATATGACCAGTGAAATCACGCCCATGTCGTCCTTCACACACACTTCCATAGATCAAAGCACACAAGCTCACACACTTTAGAAAGACATGCCAAAGGGAATGGCTTCGGGGTGGGGGGTAGAGAAAAGCAGGAGAGGAGGCGGAGTTCCCCTCTGCTTTTCCTGCTACTGGTTTTTTACCATAAAATCTACATGTGGTGAAACTTTCAGAAAAAGAAAACACTCCTTGTTTCAGACAAATAGAAAAATCTTTGAGACACTGATAATAATTGAAAAAAGCAATATAATAGCATGGGCTTATATTTTAAGCTACAGGTAGGCACTAGAGAATCTCTTAGTCATGGAAACATATACATGTGCGCACACACACGCAAATACACAGAGCAATAGTGCTTGGTTTTTTATAAGCACAAACTAGCAGAAAGAAGAATTTCTAAGCAACTAACTTATTACAAACTGATGAAGAGGAATAGAACTGCAGCAGTAATGCCTCTACCTTAAGTTCTGTTTCAGCAGCCTGGGACACAATACCATTCTCCTTTCCTGAAGGGGACAGTTACCCCTTTGATTTCTCCAATGTAACTGTATCAACCCAGTTAATGCCTCAATTTTTCTTAAATTCACCCCAATACCGGACCCAAAGATTTACCATCTTTCTTTAGATTTGCACATTAAAGAGCAAAATTGTTTGTGTTCCCTGTCTGCTTTCTTAACAGAGAGTACTTACTCCAGAGAGGGGAAAAAAGGAAGAGGAATATTTTACAGGGATGCAACATCCCTCAGTTCCCTGTGAGAGAGATGACAAGTCAAGGCACAGGCAGGCAAATAAGAGAAGGTACAAGACTAGGAAAAGGAGCTATATGGTTTAGATTTAAACTGAACATATGCTGACAGTTAGAGAAAAGAGATCAACCACTCCCAAGACTTTATTAGAATATATAAGACTAAGCTAAGCTAGTTGTAAAAGCTCACACAAAGTCTCCATGCCAGTTCTGTACTGCTGGACAACTGCTCTTTTCTTGAATTCTCGCCACATTTGGTTACACAAAGAAAAAAAGGATGGCAGCATAAAGGAAAATAGCCTTATGTAATTAGACCACGTATTACGGTCTGTATTTTAGTGGGGAGAGGAGTATCTTCCATTAGGTAAATGAAAATAAAAATGGATTAATCTGGGATTAAACCCTGCTGCTTGCTATTTTCATCAAATATGTGTTGTGGAAACAACACTTTCATAGCCAAGATTGTCTAGGAATCCACATGGTCTAAAAGAGAAAGAATATTTTTTATTAGACCAAGTGACAAGAGTTGGAAAGGAACAAGCTTTCAGGTACAGCAGATTAAGAAGCTGTATGCTTCAAAGCTTGTAAACTTTTCCATCTATGTAAGTTTGTTTTTCCCATAAATGTTTTGGCCTTCCTCTCTCATATATATATAAAAAATATGCATACATATATGTTTATGTATGTACATACACAAACACACACAGTTTACATACACATGTACATATACACTACATATACACACTCACATTTCGATATAATTTTCCAACTGTCAATTATGAGTACCATAGACAAGCTGAACGTCATCGGCTTTTATGATATTAAGTGAAATAACAATTAGTGGTCCCTCATGACCTCTCAAGTTTAAAGGTTTAACTCTGTATTCTATTACTACAATGTTTATTCACCAAAAAGCATCCAGAATTTGTTACTTTACCATGCATAGCATCCCTTTCTTTTTCATGCTTTTTAGTGTCTGTTTTATGTCACTAGGGAGCCATCCCCAAACTACACACCACTTACATACATAAAGTAGTTATCTTTAATTCTGTTCTCTCCCAGGTACAATCTATTTACATCTAAAGACTCTTTTTGCCTATCAGATCTAAAATTGATACACACAGGTAGACTTCTACCTGAGTTCTTGTATCATGCCTTAGTCATCGCAATATTCTCCTTTCTGACCTTAAATGCAGTCCTGACTGCTCACCATCCAATGTGAATGCTGCTGCTAATGACGCTCTTTTCACAAAACTCTCATCTCTGGATTCTCTAAGCTGTTTTTCTTTTTTATTGCATTAAACAACAACAACAACCACCCTCACTCCCAAAGACGTTCACAGCATACCTGGAGTCCATTCATCTCGTATCTAATATTAGGGTGCTATGTCCCCTCCTCAGTATCAGCTTGTTGTATATGCATTCATGCATTTTCATGTTTTCGCCCATGCCACTGTTCCTACGTGAACAGATACTCCACAAATATCCATTTAGTTACCTGACTGTCCTTCCTCAAATTCCTCTTATATCTCTCCTTTTCCAGGACACCTCTAAAATACAAAAAGAAATTACAAAAAAAAAAAAAAAAGTAACTACTTAACAGAAATTACCCTGCTGAGATCACATTCCATTGTCTGATCGTCAAACAGGATACCTAAACTAAAAAAATCCCTGAGAACCTAAAGACATAGGAGCACATTATAGAAACGCACGAATTTCTTTATTGAAGTTGATGCAGGTATGTCAAGGCCGGCACTGAGCTGAAGCTAATAAACCTGGATGGAGCGGTTCTCACCTGATGATTCATGACCGGATTCTGAGCAAGTAGATGCCCTTCCACTGTGCTCCCCAACCCCTCGTGGTCCTGGGAGCATGGTGCAGGCCCTGCCAGGCCAGGTTTCTGCATCTGTGGCACAACGAAGCTGGGACGAGCAACATGTGGCAATCGAAAGCTGACCGTGCTAATCTCCTACCACCGCTTTCGTGTATTCCTCCTGTACTACTATTCATTTGAGACCTCTCACTAAGATACAAAGGGTAGAGACCATCTCTTCTTCCAACGTATTTAGCACAATGAGATCCAAATCCATGCATTGGGCTCACAGGTATTATGTTACATCAAATATATTATCCCAGAAATTCCTTCCAAGTGGCTGCTTTGGTTTCAAATTTGTTCTCAGTTTAAAACAAATTTTCCCATTTTTTTACAGCTACACAATACAACAGGGTCATGTGAACTCTTTTACACTCTGTTTTGCATGGTTTTTAAAGCATTTTAGAATAGCCACATTTTGCAGTTAAGCATGGTAAAATTCAGTACAAAGTCTGTGACAGGAAAGCAGTGGAGCAACATGAGGTTGGGACACATTTTCAATTACATGCGTTGAGAAGAAAAGTAGAAGAAATACCTCTGAAAGAGGATTTTAAAGAAAGTAAGATCATCCACAAGCAGCTGCAGAGGGGAATTACTTAGAAATCACCTTGGATAACATAAGTAACTCTGGGGCTCTTGGTTAAAATTACAGCTTTCTAAAGTATCATTTCTTAATTAATGGGTTTTGTGCTGTCAAATGTTAGGTGCTGAACACAGCAATTACCTGCATTATATCAATGAAGAGCTAGCATTTATAGCCTGTGTCAAAATTACAGAGTTTCCTAAGAACAGGTATCTAGCTGCCTCCTAACAGCTAAGAGAAATAAGCAGAAATAAGTGTTTTAATAATATTTATCAAACAAGAAAGAGAACCAAGCCAGCCATTGGAAAAAGTGTCCCCCTGCCAATTATCCCACACTTCAACAGCTACAGTGAAGGAAAGTCAGAGACCTTTGGGGGAACTTTAGCCTCTCACAAAGTTGAAAGAGAAATTCCCAGGGAATTAAAAGCTAGATCTATCAAGGCAGTGACATACTCAGTTTTCAGAGTGGAAAAAGCCAGCTGCTGCACTGCCAAGTGTAAGACCTTCCTCTTTACTCATCCTTATCAAAGTTATCTCCTAGCCAACTGCAGAACAAAATTCTACAGTGCTCTTCTCCAGAAGAAATTTAATTAATCTTTATACTAAATGCTTGACACCAAAACCAGGGATATCTTGACCGTAGGATTGCTAGTTACTAGGACAAACTAAAAGGATGCTACTCGAATACACAGTTAAAGATAGCACTAAATGGAATTAACACCTTTTACATTTATAAAGGGACATTAAGACCTAACAACAATATCCCATGCTGAAAGCCCACCTGGAGCGAGCAATTATAATATTCCAGTGATGTGCATAGCATTCTCTACACCAGACATGCCCACCTATTTAAATAAATGTTTGCTGCTTATTTAGGAACCTTAGGGGAAGAGGGAGAAAAGATGCCAGCCATCCAGTGGAGAAGTAAGGGTCATAGACACAGGTAGATGGGACTCATTCTTAATTTCATGTGTAATTTTTGTAAACAACAGTCGATTTTTTCTTCCAATAGCTTTTCCCACTTTTTTTTTTTTTAAAGTGTGTAAATCTCACAGGTAATACATATATTAAAGACTTTGGTAAATTATACAATAAACACCATATGGACAGACAATCCAGAACTTACTGATAAGAGGTTTCTCAGATCTTTCTCAAAAGCACCTTGCATTGCTGCAGCTGACCACAATCCCTGCTACTGCATCTCTCCTGTTACCTGTCACAAGTGTTCACTATCGGAGTTATAATGAACAAGTAGTCAAAAAGATGGAAAATGTAGAACTAAGTAATCCAGACTTAGGAGTTTTTTGTCCAGGTGCCACACCATACATAAATTCTTTGGGTTTTTATATCTCTTTACAAAACACAGAACAGTATTAAAAGTCAGCTTTGTGACCTACCTGCCATAATAGAGTCCTTTGAAAATACTAAGATTAAAAACAAAATGCTGAGCCTGCGCTATAAAAAGCTTTCATTAGATCTGCTTGATTCAGGAAAAAAACCAAGCCCTGAGTGGAATGCTGCCCTGTTAGCTCTGGAGAGGACAAGCATAAATCTTCAGAGGACTGAAAGCAAAGTATTATTTGCAGTCCTAAAATACAGGAGTGGCAAAAGGGTCTTTGCAGGAGATTAGCTCAGCCTTGGAATGTAGTTGAAACACGCATCTCAAACAGATGGCAAAATCCAGAGAAGCAACCTGCAATTTGGTGTTGGCAGCTGTGTGTGCAACACACACGGGTTTAAGTGGCTGATAAGAAGCATGCTACAGCAGGCTCTCCCCAACCATGCACAACTGCACACACTTGGATGACTCAAACCCCAGCTTTCCAGTCTCAAAATTCAAGATTTTGATCAGGAAACAAAACTCGTGCATATGTGCTAACTGCACAAGTGAAGTGAGAAAAGCCAGGCTCCATCCTTCTTCTCAGGGCAGCAGAGGATCAGAGTCCCCCTGCCAACAGCCAACTGCCCCTCTGCACCAGAGCCTTCACAGACAGAAGGTCTCTGCCTCATCCCCACTGCCAAATGTAACCTAAAGATACGAATTTCATTGCCTTAAAATGGCAAAATCCTAGTGATGGTAATGCAGGAGAAAATGGATGTTATTGGAAAATAGTTGCCACCACTGCAAAGGACGTAATTTTAGGTTTTGGGGGAGTGTTAAACTCTTGCTCCTACTATTTTTCTTGTTTTACTGAAAAATAATTGCTGAATCTCTTGGAAGCCAAAAGCTTTTTATTTTGTCATCTGAATTTTATACCTTAACATTTCTTACTGTCCTCAAATTTTAACAACTTTATTGTCTGCGCGGATGAGGAAATGGAATGCACCATCCCCAAACTTGTGGATGATACCAAATTCGGGAGAGCTGTTACTACACTAGAGGACAGGAACACCATTCAGAGAGACTACAACATGTTTGAGAAATGGGCCAAAAAACCCTCATGCAGTTTGCCTATGACAGATACAATGTCCTGCTCCTGGAAGGGTTTAAATTCCTGTAACAGAAAAGGCTGGACACCAATTGAAGCTGGCAGTGCTGCAAGGAGGAAGGGAAAAAAAGAAAAAAAAAAAGACAAAGGAAAGAAGGAAAAAACTTTGGTGTCCTGGAGGGCAAGCTGGATATGGGTCAGCAGTGAGAGCTTGCAACGATTGGAGTTAACTTGATACTGGGCCAAATCAGGGGGAGCGTATCTGGAAGGATAGAGAAGTGATTTAGCCTTTTATTGAGCACTTGTGAAACCACACCAGGAGCCACTTTTGGGCTCCCCAGCACAAAGAAAGGTATTGACAAACTGGCACAAGTGCCATAAACTAGAAGGCGGCCAGCGAGACCACGATGGGGGTGCAGCATACGGCATTCAAGGAATGGGTGAGGGAGCCCGGCTCGCCCAGCCAGCCCAAGAGAAGCCTGCGGGATGCCCCAGAGCTGCAGATACCCGTTCAGCTCGCTGAAGGGGGATGCAGGGAGGAACGAGGCAGACCATCAGCTCTTCCATAATTGTATGACACTGCAGTTCACATGCGGAATGCCAATGCTAAGTAATACACTAAGGACTTGTGGGCAGACAAACCCATTAAGAGCTGTGTTAGGTTAGAAACTACTAACTTGTGAAGGACTTGAGTTGAAATTTTGTCATGAACTGGAACAATCTAATTGTTAATTCTGAAAAAGTGTTATTCTCAGTCTTTCAGAAGTCCTTGCTTAAATCATGAGATACAGTGTTATAAACAGGCACAAAACTGAAATAATAATAATTTAAAAAATCACATAAATGGTACATAAACTTATTTCAGCAGAGGGTTTTTTTCTGTTCCTTGAGCAGCAGTTTAAATCAATGTGGTGGGTTGATCCTGGCTGGGGTCCAGATGCCCACCAGAGCTGCTCTATCACTG